TGGACTGTGGAAATCCTTCTTTCTTCTCGGATGCATATAAGTCATTTGATTGAAAAATACATTTGAAAAGTGCAATCACATCAATGTGTTGGTTGTACTCGCTGTTTGAGTGGACCATCCCACAAGCCAATGGGGTCTTCTCTTTTCGATAGAACACCTTTTGGTCAGCCACATGTCAATGAACTTACATCTGTCACGCACTGCCCGTCGCTTTCTGTTGACCTGTTTTGACTGACTGGAGTGTGATCTGCTTACGGTCGTTCTTTCACTGAGATCTTTTACGATATACCAATCAAATCACGTTTTATGGGGAACAACAACAAAAAATGGCATTTTTCGACTACCTCCCGCTTATCGATCTACTTAGTTATGCGTTCTCGTGCGAACGCCACTGGTTCTATATGATTTTCGGTACTGAACACGTTCATCTTAATGGTAAAAAACTGTTCCCATTACACGTTACGTCAAATGCATCGTTTCGTGAATGTGGAGATGTGATAATGGATGCCCGAATCATACTTCAAGATGAGTTGTATTCAGTGTTCAAATATCCAAACTGTCTATCTGCGGCGTTATGCGGTAACTTACTAATACAGACTACCACCTATCCGTGTTTTGCAAATCAGTGTGACTATGCTTATTCTGAGGCCGGTGTTTTCGCGATCAAGATAACCGGAAGAAGGCCTGGTTGCGTTTGCGCGTCAAACTGTTCTCCTTGGTTTTGCAGTGTACCGTAATATCACGTCCGAATGTTTTATAAGTGCTCTATATGGGTATAGTTGGTGCTTAGAACACAGATTATAGACGAACATATATGCTCAATAAGTTAATTCTGAAGCCATTAGAATTACGTTCACGTAATAAAATAACCGGAGAGTGTTGTGTTGGGGCTAATCACTTGAGGTTAAATAACGAAAACAAAGGGATGGGGTAGAGACAGTTTTGTTCAGATGGGAAAGGATTACGTAAGCGTTGATAATTGATTCGGGTCATCCTAATGATTATGCGTGATGTTGTTCACTTTGGGCCAAAGAAGTTCAAGTGTCTGAAGAAGTTATTTTGTGCACATAATTCTGACCCTAATAAGCGGATGATTAGTACCGAGGTTCTTACTAGTGTTTCAATGTGAACAGCCTTGGATTTATGTTGTGGCAAGTAGTGGATGATGGTGAAAGCCTATGTTCAGTCTCGACAAAATGTGAAACCATTGAACTGGATATAACTCGGTTTTCCCCGTGTCTAAGCAGCATGGGCTGATTTTCTTGGATGTCTCTCGATAGCTGCCTTGTCACGTGACCTACGTAAGTGACAGCACAGATCAACTTGAATTGGTAGATGAGCATTGACTCGGTCAACAGAGGCAACCTATCCTTGTTCTGATTTCGGATGAAGGTGCGATGGCAAGAACACGCATCTGGGTTTGGGAGCGTTGAATGTTGCTTTAACTGTGGCACTCTGGGTTTTAGTGACCCTTTCGACTGCTGAGTCTCTGTTGAACGGAAGTTGGATTATTAGAATCATTTTCTCAGCCCTGTCTGCTGGCACGGGCTTCGGTCTTCCGAACCAATTAAAGACGGGTATGCATTTACTGAAAGCGTCTTTCGCACAACTACTAATTCTTTTTTAATATGTCTTGTTAGGAGAAATGTCTTCTGCGAATAGATATCATAGCACCAAGTTATGGTGCTTACTTAAGCACCCCAAAGCTAATCCGTTCCGGCTATTGTGTTTCACAATACTAACAAACGGCTGTGATTGCTTCCAATCAATTCTCAGAATGTAGTTACAGAGCATGAACTTCCGTCCCAATACGTATCTGAATTGCTGTTATCTTCACACAAGGACACGCTAAACCACCCGCCGAGTGGTACAAGTCACAAAATTATCGCTTCACAGCAAGTGTGTTCGAATCCCACCACCACCGTCTGCCTTCCTCAATATCTTTGTGTTGTACGGCAGCTTCCCGCTAGGCTGCTTCCCCCTTTCTGAATATTGTATCATTATGTATTCAATAGAATAAAGTAAAATAAAAACAAAACGAACAAAACCAATCCGATCTGGCAAAATAGTAATTTATCCTAATCCATGGCCCACGCATATGTGGGAACGTGCATGATTAGAAGGGATTGAAAACCACTTTTCCGCTTGCCAACGCTTTTTTGTGAGCATAAAAATAAGTTTGCTCAAACTACCACGAAAGACATGAACAAGACCGTTGCGATGAATCGCTGAGGTGTTTCAAATTTCATCATCAGTGCGATTCTATCGACACGGCGTTAAATTCGCTGAGGCAAGAAATAGACCCAACTAGGTTGAAAACATTTTGTATTACCCCCACCCTCATCTCATTTCCACGTTTGCAGTTTCTCGTTTTTCTCACGTTTGACAAGTTTCATTCTACCGGTAAAACAAATTTATAAAGCATGATGCGTTCTGCTTGTGTGTGATGGAGATCATGGGTATCCGTGGTCATAACCTCCATAATTTCAATGATTCTCACCGTGTTACTTGCATTCATCCCGTCTCGCGTGAACGCGTTTAGTCCTCCATAGTTCATCATACCACGAACAACTTGAACGCACCTCCAAAAATGATATCTCGCTGATTCAGTTTGACCAATGCAGTGGTTGGGTAACCGTGCTGTTCCCTAATCCGGTTGTGTTCTATTCTCATCAGTGTGGTTTTTATAACCATACTCTGAACACGATCAATTTGATGACCGCGACAGACCACACCCAGTTTCGTAATTATTTTAGGCAACATTTCTCCATCCGGAACACGATAATGTCTTCCTCTCTGTTCAGATTATTAGTCTTGAATGAAATTTCACTTTGCTGTGTAGCTAAAGCGAACATCTGTCGGACGGCGATCTAGATTTTATCGTTTCGGATAACTTTTGTCTCTAGTTGTCCTAATGGACCGTGTTCATACATCTATTAGCCACAACAAGCCCTGTATCTCGAGGTTATCCGCAATTATGGGCGTAGTCTGCAATACCTGAAATCAAATGGTACGGTAGAGTTGTTTTGAAAGAGTAGTTATGCACTTTCAATGCACCAAAGGACGCCTGGTTTGTCATGATTCAACACGCGTTCATTGGAACTTTTGTCGCTAAATCGAGTTGTCATAAGAAATGATATTGTATAGTTCATACAATTCCACACATACACACACCAGTTTCGGTTGTAAAACCGGAAACATTTGTGTTTTCGTACTAGTCCTACACTCATTCACATGTGGAGGAATTAATCATCTGTCAAAAGTGCGATCCACACAGACCAACATTACACAAGCCCTGATGTATGCAAAAATTGCATGGGTTGTAGGAGACAATTTCTGATTGTATTCGTGTGCTCATGCGTTCAAGGAGACGGACATCGGCCGTTTAACTCGGGGCTAAGTGTTTCGGCTCCTAACTGGAAGGTTCTTGATTCCGTTCGAAAAGTACGCGATGGCCCTGGGTCCCGAAGAAGGCCAGCAGGTATTCAGTGCTCTTGATCCATCATACTCTTCCACGGTGCGCAGATGTTATTTCTTGCTTATGTAGCAAACGAGAAAAATCGCTATCGTTGCGGCTCTTTAGTCATTCCGCATTGGAGTGACTACGACTGAGATAACCCGAGAAATGATGCTTCAATTACCATAATGTTGTTTTCCTAATCTAGAATGATTGGATTTTTAAATTGACTGTTTGGTTCAGTCAGGAGAGTGATCAGTGCGAGTTTGCACTTCTGTTCACAGAAATGATCGCCCACAAATGCTCCAAAGATTTTGTCAGGTTCCACCAGGGCTCGTAAAAAACCGTTTCATTGAACACGAATCGGATGAAAATTGGGTGGATGGTGGCGCAGTGGTTTATTCACTGTCACCGGTGGTTCGAGGTTCGGAGTCCACCACCACCACCCAACTTTCGTGGTAAGCAGCTTCGCTGTCACCCGGTTTGATTCCACGCCTGAGTTAGCGGAGCCGACTGCTGTTCATCACATATTAGTGTGTATTAAAAAAAGTGAGGTTCAAGCTGAGATCGGTTCTGATGCGAATTCATTCAAATTGAGTTGAATGCATTTGCCCGTGATAGAAGAGTAGAATATAGATAGATACGTACGCACCAAATAAATCGTGGTAGAATGCTTTCTATAGTAGGAAAAAGATTCATGATTTATTGGTGAGCGGAATACTGTTACTTTCCTCAGGTCAAAGTAGGTGAATTTCCGGGTCGGAAGAATGAATAGCGAGAGACTTCGGCTAGCAAAACCTTGATGCTCAAGATACCGGGGTGGTGTGTGAAAACCGCGATCCATTGGGGTCTGGGGTCCAGTTCATTGGATCAAACTTGCATGGTTCCCAATACACTTCGACGTCCAATCCAGCCGGTGACCAGTAAATTAATCAATAAAGCGTATCAGTGTGTATAGGGATTCGTACATCTTTTCTTGGTTATTATGATATCAAAGTTCTTAAGCCAACTCTCCTGGGTGAACTGACAGTGTTTCAGTGATCCCCTTATAGCCCCGGATGTTGCCTTTTCGTTCATCCGCTTTGGTGGGGAAACACCGCCGCAGGTAATTGCAAAATGTAACGGCCTCNACGGCCTCTTCCCATTTAGATTCTTATTCACAACATGTGAATGGAATCCGCTCAAAGTTTAGAGACTAGGCGCTTAAATCATCATTCAGAATTACCTCACCTCCTTTGATTGCGTCTGAGAGCTAATCGCTCTCTCATGTGACACAAGCAACCGAAATCAGATGACCACAGTTGAATCTGATCGCATGTGATACGCTTTACGTCAGGGTAAAATACATCGGGACAGGCGTGCTGTTAGAACGATTTCACAAACCCACAGCTACTCGTACAAATTGTGCATGATTATGCAAATACTGTTTTCTATGGGCATGCAATACTAACACTGGGTGTCGGTTTGTGGCCCGTTTTGTGATTGATTCCAGATAAACGCTCGATATTTGGTTATTCAAACGAACGAATCGATCGCACCCTGGATCCGGACCTGATGGACAATGGAGACATTCCCCGAGTGGTGCGCGCCTATAACAGTAACACAAATGAATTGCGACCGAATTACAGCTCACCAGATTTGACACGCTTACCGGATGCTATTCAATTTGGTAAATCCGAGGTTAGTAGACCGGTGATGAATTCTTTTTGCGTAGATTCACACAGTTGTTTTCTTTCCCCCTGATCCATCGATCGAACGATCGAATATTCAACAGGGTCAACCAATGTCCGAACACTTGACCATACATTGTGGAAGATGTTGTTTTTTGTTTTCAAAGAATTGGATTGATCAACGAATCATGGTTGTCCGGCATAGTGAATTTAACCTTTTCTCATTAGAAATGACCTGGTTCATAAAATATTTTTAACTTAACTCAACAGATTACGTAACTTATTCGCTATAGTGTAAAAGCTACAAGGATTTTGTTTCTTTATTCTGACACAGGGAACATGATTACCTTGCTCACTCATAGTTTATGCAAATATATGATTTGGAATACACGACTGACTAACCGGTACTTCACATTGATCCACTGACATGAACCGTAAAGTGCCATCAAACAACAGGGAGAAGAACAGTTTTGTACAACTCATTCTAGAATTTCTTAACAACCAGTTTCATCAAAACATTCATTCTTTCTTGAATTATAAAATAGAACCTTATTTCTTCTCTACACTATTGTTTGTTAGGTAATGTAATAAACAACAGCGTTATTTTTTATGTGACTGCTGCATTTAGACTTCCGACATAGCATGCTGCCTTCCAAATGGTTAAATGAAAAACCGTATTGGGTTCTCAAAGGTTCTGCCTGTTCAGTGTGTTGAACAAGAGGCTACTGTTTATAACTTGGTTTATTTTCCTTTGAACGGGATAAAGTTATTATCCTCATAGTTCAAATATCAGATTTATGACGATCCGTATTTACAACCGCACCCTATGATCAGAATGCATCAAGTTGCATCAACTCTCTGCAGAATTTTCCCATCAATCCGACCTTGGGTGATGCGAAAAATAATGATCAAAACAGAAAAAAAACAGAATCCATTGAGCGCGTAGTATCATTGATCGATGGCAAATGTTCAACAAAGGTCACGTGAACTTTTAATCGCTTTGTAAACTATGCATTCGTAACCCGTTCGGAATTGAGGCATGTGCGCCGCAGCACCACGACGATGACCTATTTTCACGAATTCAAAACAAAGGCTCCGATACTAGTCCCATCCCGACCAGATCGCCGACGAGACTTAAACTCACTGGCGTTTGAGTAATCCAGGCAGGAGGAGTTTCATCTGGACAGGCTAGAATGTGTTTCTATTAGAATACGGATTAACGTGCGTGCAATATCCATAACCCATCGGTTGACACTATTGCACGAAGAATTGGCGTAGTAATTGCAATAGAAAAGAAAAAAATTAATATCTACTGGAAATCTGGTACTATTTGTTTCATAAAAAACAGTTATTTGAAGCTTTTTTGCCTCACTTGTATGAGCACATATGTCGCATATTTTAGACCAAATTATTGCGAATCGGGGGAATCTAGTCTTGGCATATCATATACTGCATCAACCCAAACACCCTTGCCCTGTTCATGCTGACTTTATCTCATAATGATCACCTCAGGAGACATCCACTAAAGGTGAAGACCCAGAACAGCCACCTTGATTGCCGATATCACTCATTTGCAGTCAGAGTGTGCGGCGCATGGAATTCTCTCCCATCAGATTTAGTGTGTGCTCCTACAGTAAAACTATTTAAATCGCAACTTGATAAAGTATTGGAACACTTAAAATTTCAACATCCGCGAGTGATCACACACATTATTATCATTGTTATTTGCTCTTTGTGAATTTATTCAAAACATTCTGTAAAAATCCTATGGGGCATGATAAGCCTCAGCCTTATTAAATCGACCATAATAAAACTTTGACTTTGATTTTGAAGCAATATGTTGATACACTTTGGATAGAGGATTTTTCGCTAGTCAGACGTATCTATCACACTTGCGCAATTAAGTCGTGAAACGTGATTCTCTGGTAAGGGGGATCAATTTGAAATAGGCACTCAGCTCAGTGCATTTTAGCTGACGACAAATGCAGGCACACTATATATATATATATATATATATATATATAGCACAATAGTAGGTTAATTAAACCCAAACTAACACTCATGGGTGCAGCGTGCAAACCCAACTTCCATAGGCCACACATCTGTCAGTCGTGTTTTGCCATGATTCGGCCTGTTTGACTACTGATCTGTTTGCAGCGAGCCAGATCACGTTTGCAGTCCCGACCCGGATCACCATTATCCGTTCACCGGTCCATTTCATCCACATCACGTGTCCAAATGAGGGTACCAGTCAAACGACTTGGCCCTTTGAACCGATGCGGGCACCGGTACTCAACTCGTACCCCTACAGCATGCATCTGTTCATCGAAATTGCTGTATCCACCGGTCTGACTGAATTCACACTGGATCATTCAATCATCTGTGAGGTGGTCTGTGTTTACTTTTTTTGGCAGTCTGTGAAACTCGGCGATAGAGGGATATCCATCTGATCTGAACATTCACTAATACCTAGGTCATCAACAAAACTACGTGCATATCAGTCAGCTCAAGCACACACATACAAAACCACTTTCCATTTTTTGTGCAATACAGTTACAGCCGCAAAACAGTTCGGAACAACACAGTTACAGACAGTTTCACCCACCACTGCGCACTCTTGATAGGTCTGTACTCAATAACTATTTAAGGGGAGCCTGTTTGATCGATATTTCGAGTCAGCACCACCACCATATCAGTATGCATTTGATCCGCACGTCCCAGTTTAGTCATAGAAGAAATTCAGTGGGGACCATTTGAAAGACCAATTATACGGACTGGTCTGCACACCACTAAATCCTGAAGGATACAATCACACTGCAAGCAGACCGTTGCATGACGATCAACAGTAGAAGGGATAAACTCCACACTGACAAGAACCTGCTGTTCACCCACGGGAACCAGAACCTCAAACTCCGGAACTTGGATTATCTAACCACGTAACACTTTCACCAGCAGAGGTGTAGTATTGTGCCTACTACCCAAGTTAGGTGGCGGCGGTGGGATTGGAACCTCAGTCCAAAACAAGCCAGTCTTAGCTAGCTCAACCATTTGATCACCATAGTCCTTACATCTGGGATGCTTGGGAAAGGTTTGTCATTCTGAATCAAACTCAAAGTGTCGTTAATTGTTGCTTACATTCAATGTTGATTCGGCACAAGGAACACATACCTAATCAACTTTTATTTTCTGTTTCACGAATGTCTATCTCAGCCCTTAAAGATGATAATGTAGGATTAACCCCGGTAATTAAAACAAACCACGTATTCGGATTAAGAGAACCGGTCATTCGAGTAGGAATGGGGGTCAAAGTAACCCTGTAATCCGATATACCCGGTGCTGAACAGACAGTTACAAAGTTGTGTGTCATCAAATCGGCACAATTAGAAAGCTTAAACAAAGTGTTAACAAATTTGATCACTAAGTCGATCGATAACCACGTTCATTTCTTCTAAAGCATATACAGATTTTATGCCTGACCTTTTCGAATACTGAACTAAAAATTACCTACCCTAAGTTCCAAATCAAGGAATTATCCTGCACAACGATGGCAGGTAGACAAGTGATATTTGAAATCCATGGCACAGTGTTCCAATTGGAGCCACATGCGGTCTCACGTGTCAACTCTGCAGTGTTGTTCATCCTAAGTCGTTTTGGGGGTATTTAAGACTGCGAGACGTTTCTTCCACGGTTTTATTAGGAAGAAATAGCGCTGTAGCTCCTCAGAAAGGCAGAATAGTTATGTGCTACCGAGAACACTGGAAGATGAGGCGTCGGTAAAGGTCGTGTGATTCAAGTACACAAACTCCGGGTTGTTGTGGTGATGACCAACTAAACTACTCGTTATTTTTATAAGAGTAGGATAGTTGCTACCAAACACGAAACAAGTAGAAACCGAAACGTGTTCACAAACGACGTGGTGCTGATACTTCCATGGTAGAGTAATTACGTTATTGCTAGCTTTTGTTTTATTCCGTTGGAATCTACCTCAATCTCTCAAGGTCTCTAGGGCCTGAACGATCCCAGGCGAACTGAACTGAACTAAATGGTAGTAGCGCGTTGATGAAGGAAATATATGCCATTCCCAGCATAGAATTTCATTCTGTCCTTGATAAAGTACTATCGATAAATAAAGCTTGGGACTACAGTAAATTTCTGGGAATTCATTACTACTACTACTGATGTTGCGTCATTACTTTATGCGACACGATTGCGAATAATTTTCCTGAGAGTCCGATTGTTAATTCGCCCCAACCTTACAATGACATGCAACCTTGTCAAACGCGCACACAGAGACCCGTCAGTAATAATTTGTTCAGATGATGAATTCGTCTTGTATAAATGAGGCGTGAGTTGAACAACTTGGAAGCACTGGACAGCTGTTTCGATCTGGTTGGGAATGAGAAGCGGTCTGATCATCCCCCGATTTTGGGGTGGGTAGCATGCTTTTGTTCTACCTTTGATGGCCCAGGTTCTATCCCCAGTTGGGTCGATGAATTCGCACTGTTAATGAGACCCAACCGGGTAAAATCAGCTTTCCATTGCATCCCAGCTTCTCAGCTCATATTTTATTTACACGATGAATTCATTATAGAAACTAACAAAATCCTCAAATCCTCTCAAAAACTGTTTTTGTTTTGAAACTTGATCGATCTATCTGTTCAACAACTGACATGTGTATCATTTTTGTGGGATTTTGTTTAGCCAGACAAAATTACTTATAACAATGTTTTCACTTCCTTTTTATCAATTGAACAAAAAAATAAACAACCGATTTCCAGGAAGGCCGCTGTGGCCAAACAGATTCCGTTCGGGCCAATAAAGAAGTAGAGCTACATTGGCGACGGTTTCGGATTGGAACTTGGAACCTTCAGGGGGCCGCGGTCGATGATCCTAACCACTTGACCACCGCCGCCCCAAATGACACCCTTTTAACAGTAATCTAAAATCGTTCGTGAACTGACTTAGGCAGTATTGTCCTCAGTAATTCACCTACCGTTTTCCTCTACAATG